ACTTAATAAAAGCAATAATGCAGCAAGCAGGAACTCTTAATTCTTCAAAGTTCCTAGGTGGGAGTAATAGGTGACATGATAGTTAGAAATTACAGATATTACTCAGAATCCTTTTGTGACTTCGTTGTAAACATGGAAACTTCTGGCAAAAGATAATCTAGATTTGATACTAAAGATTATTGAGAACAAGATCAGTTGTCTCATTTAAACTGAACCTTAAGTATTGGCAACAAGTGTAGGAAATTATGCCAATATTATATTTCTAAGCAAGCCTGACTTTTAGCTTTTACTTTAAAAAGAGGATATTATGCCCAGATTTGCAATTTAGCCAACAAATGGAGTAATGTGTTTGTTAATTAGGATTAGAGTTGGCTGTTTTTTAAAAATCCAAATACAAGTAGCTCAGTCAAGGTAGAGATTGATTTTTCTTTTTGATAAAAAACATCCAGAGGGAAGAAAAGTCCAACATTGGCATGGTTACTCCACAGCCATCAGGGACTTAGATTCTTCTCTTTTTTGCTCATCTATTCTTGGCACTACTTTACATCCTCAAGATGTCTAGTGATTCTAGATGGCTTCTGGACCTTTAGAAGGTCACATCTTTCACCTTTCATTCTAGCCATCTCTCTTGAAAGAATTTTTAGAATTATACACTCAGTGGCCAGGCGCAGTGGCTCATGCCTATAATCCCAGCACTTTGGGAGGCCAAGGTGGGCAGATCACTTGAGGCCAGGAGTTGGAGACCAGCCTGGCCAACATGGTGAAATCTCATCTCTACCAAAAACTAAAAAAAAAAAAAAAATTAGCCCTAGTCCGTAGTCCCAGCTACTCAGAAGACTGAGGCAAGACTAAAACTAAAAAAAAAAAAAAAAAATTAGCCGAGTCTGTAGTCCCAGCTACTCAGGAGGCTGAGGCAAGAGAATGGCTTGAACCCAGGAGGCGGAGGTTGCAGTAAGCTGAGATCATGCTACTGCACTCCAGCCTGGGCAGCAGAGCAAGACTCTGAATAAAAAAAAAAAAAAAAGAATTATACACTCATTTCTCCTTCCATCTCATTGGTCTTTCCTAATCGTCAAGGGAGGCTGGAGTTATAACTGGGCAAGTTGCTATTTGCAACAATTAGAAGTTCTGGGCCAGGCGTGGTGGCTCATGCCTATAATAATAGCACTTTGGGAGGCCGAGTTGGGTGGGTCACTTGAGGTAAGGAGTTCAAGACCAGCCTGACCAACAAGATGAAACTTCGTCTTTACTAAAAATACAAAAATTATCCGGGCATGGTGGCAGGTGCCTGTAATCTCAGCTACTCAGGAGGCTGAGGCAGGAGAAGGGCTTGAACCCAGGAGGCGGAGGTTGCAGTAAGCTGAGATCACGCCACTGCATTCCGGCCTCAGCAAAAGAGCAAGACTCTGTCTCAAAAAAAAAAAAAAAGAAGTTATGTTATTTTAAAAGAAGGGGAGACTGGGCGTGGTGGCTCACACCTGTAATCCCAGCACTTTGGGAGGCCAAGGCAGGCGGATCACGAAGTCAGGAGATGGAGACTATGCTGGCCAACATGGTGAAATCCCATCTCTACTAAAAATTTAAAAATTAGCTGGATGTGGTGGCATGTGCCTGTCAATCCCAGCTACTTGGGAGACTGAAGCGCGAGAATCACTTGAACTCAGGAGGTGAAGGTTGCATTGAGCCAAGATCGTGCCACTGCACTCCAGCCTGGCAACCGAGCAAGACTCTTGTCTCAAAAAAAAAGAAAGAAAGAAAAGAAAAAAAGAAGGGGAGAGGCATCCTTGTAATCTCACTTTGGGAGGTCAAAGCAGGAGGATCAGTTGAGCCCAGAGATTCAAGACCAGCCTGAACAACATAGTGGGAGCTCATCTCTGGAAAAAATTTTAAAAAACTAGCCCAATATGGTGGCATGTGCCTGTTCTCCCAGCTGTTTGGGAGTCTGAGGCAGGAGGATTTCTTGTCCCAGGAGGTCGAGGCTGCAGTGTGCCATGGTCACACCACTGCCCTCCAGCCTGGGTGACACAGTGAGACCCTGTCTCAAAAGAAAAAGGAGAGGGAGAGTGTATATGTGGATACTGGGCATGCAAACAGGCGCTGCCACAACCTGCTTTGAAGAATATAGTATTTATATTAGGAAAATAACATTTTAGTGTCATCGAATCCTTATATAGGACATAAATTTAAAAGATCCCCAAACTGCATTTACCATGTGTCTGATTAATAAAAGCAGTAAATCTCCAGGACAGAGTGTTCTGCTTTGGATGTCTCAGCAGGAGTCATTGGAAACAACTATTGAGTTTTGTATATTTTTAAAAAACTGAAAAATGACTTCTTCAGAACAACAAGGAAAAAAAGACTCTTTGGGGCCTGACGTGGTGACTCACGCCTGTAATACCAGTACTTTGGGAGGCCGAGGCGGGTAGATCACCTGAGGTCAGGAGTTTGAGACCAGTCTGGCCAACATGGGGAAACGCTGTCTCTACTAAAAATACAAAAATTAGCTGGGCGTGGCGGTGTGCGCCTGTAATCCCAGCTACTCAGGAGGCTGAGGCAGGAGAATGGCTTGAACTCGGGAGGCGGAGGTTGCAGTGAGTCGAGATGGTACAAGTGCATTCCAGCCTGGGCTACAGAGTGAAACTCCATCTCAAAAAAAAAAAAAAAAAAAAAGAAAAAAAAAAGAAAAAAACAAAAGACACCTGTGCCTGGAAGAATCAAAACAACCACAAAAACAATTGAACAGATATTTGTTGAACTAGCAGGAGTAATGTATATTAGAGGATACAAGCTAGGAATAAACAT